CAGACTAGTACAGTATGTCTCTGATTCAGCATATCTAGTTTTAATGACAGAAGTAACCTACAAGTCATATTGTAGTATTATTGTTTTACTTGCAGATCTGTAATACTAATTTGATCATTAAAATTATGCTAAAGAAGGATGTGTCCTTAATATTATTTTTATTGTAATATGGTTGTAAGAGCATCCCAGAATACTAGGACATGACTCATTTTGTTTCTGCTACAGATTTTAGGTAACGTAAAATTCCAATAGCTGTATTTTTACCAGTGCTTTATCTGTGTGTTCTCCGTCAATCCCAATAAATGTATGAAATCTGAATATCAGCTGGTTCTATTGACCAACCTATACATCAGTCTAGCCCTATAAAACGCCACACCAATCTGTTAGTGGCCTTTGGTTTCAAGCAAAGAGAAGCTGTAACATATACTGAGCTCTTGTTTTCTGCTGGAATTCAGTTAATTGAATTCTGAAATGCTCTTGCCAAATTGCAAAACTGATATACTCTCAGCATTGCTTAGTAAGTGTCGTCTTCTGTGGTGACAGTAGATATTTGACCTTTAGAATTAAATGAAGTAATTTAAACTGAGATACTTTCATCTGTGGTTTCTCGAGAAAAAGGAAAAAATGGCTTGCTTGATTATACACTTATTAATTCACATTATGATGCAGCAGGCGAATATTGCATTAAAAAGTAATTATAATTCAGCATGAATTTTGCTATTTCTCACATCATCTTTGGGAACATATTTTCTGGCCATGCATGGAATGTGTGAGTGGATAGAAGCATACAGTCTCAATTGTGGTAACGAATGTTACTTAAATTTAATTTGAAATGTAAGTGAAAATGAGAACAGTATTTTACATGGGTTACACAATTACTACAGTTTAGCTAAAACATGCAAAACAAAAACCTTCAAGACAAAATGAAGCTTAACATGAATTCCGGCTGAATATTCCATGTAGCCAGCTTAGATCTGTCCAGCTTCATGGTCTGCTGCAGCACCAACTTTGGCAAACTGTTTTATCATGAGCACTATTTTTGTAACTTTGGATCTAACAGCTTGCAGGCTTATAGAGCATGTTGGCCATTTCTTAGATTTCAAACCATGTTTCTTTGTGATAACAAGTGCACTATCCAGCAAATGGTGTGGAAAGAGGTCACTGATGTGAACATATACAGCGCTGGAAAAAAATTAAGACCCCACTCTGTATTTAAAAAAAAATAAATAAAAATCTGCATTTTTAAATCCCGATTCAATCCTGGTTTTGCTGAGCAGCAGGTTGCTTCTAGGTTCAAAATTTCTAAGACAGCAGTACACAAGAATAAGGTGAAGCAGGAGACACTGGGAATGACCAGATATCAGCCAAGTAACGGGCAGAAGCAACTTTCTAATGCCAGAGATGACCGTCAACTTCTTCAGCTGGGACAGTTTGTATCAGGCTCCTAGAAGCAGGACTGAAGTCCCATAAAGCAAGGAAGAAGCCCTTCATTAATGAGGAATAAAACAAAAAAAAAAACATAATTTTTATATATACAGCAAAACCTTGGATTGCGAGTAACTTGGTCTGCAAGTGTTTTGCAAGATGAGCAAAATTTTTTAATAAATTTTAACTTGATAAACGAGCAAGGTCTTGCAATACGAGTATTACGTATATGCTTTGTCTGCCGAGCGTCACGTGATCACAACTGAGCTGATGGTTCTTCTCTCTCTCTCTCTCACTCTGCGGGATTGTGGGTAATTGTCTCCCATGCTCTGTCTCAGTCAGCGTCTCTCACTCGTGTAGTCAAAATTTAGTAGAAAAGCACCACCCGAATAAGGGTGTAGCAGTGCCAGCGATGAATCTATTTAACGACAATGCAATGTCACATTTCCGCGGAATCGAAAAGGAGGCAAAAGTGGCTGTCATTGGATAGGTTCCTTGTTAAAGTCGCACAAAAAAGAAAAAGATTCCAGTGAGCCAACAGATAGCAGTGATTCCCTTATTTAAAAAATAACCCTCCTCTTCTCCTCTCTCTCGTCTCCCTCACACCATCCACAATTCTTTTCAAAGGTAAAGTGCAGGTTAATTTGTTTTATGTATTTTTACTTTATATTTTGTATTAATCATTATCAGTATATGAATATTTTTGGGTTGTGGAATGAATCATCTGAGTTTCCATTATTTCTAATTGGAAAATTCGCTTTGATATACAAGTGCTTTGGATTATGAGCACGTTCCTGGAACGAATTATGCTCGCAATCCGAGGTACCGCTGTGTGTGTGTGTGTGTGTGTGTGTGTGTGTGTTTGTATATTTGAGATACACGCCGATAAATTGAGAAATGAGTGAAACAAAACATTGGCAAGTGGATCATCTTTCCAGAGCTTTATATATTCATTTGGTATGCACATCTTGAGACATTGTCACTGATATTATTGTACAGTTTAAAGTTAAGTGGCAAAGAAGTCGTATTTTTAAGGTGGTTACCTTAAAGAATATGTAGAGGTTATCAGACACTGAAATAGATCATTCTGTTTGTGATCGTGGCTTTGGTTGTAATCTGGCAGCAGGGTCTTATTTTGAAACAGTGTAATATGAACTGAGACATATTTTACCATTTGGTGATTTTTCAGGGAGGATTTCCACAACGTTCTGTCTGTTTTCATAAAGCTGGAGTCAGACTTCATGCTCAGGTGCCTTCATGTCATCTTGTATTTACCATCAGTTTAAACACAAAGATCTTGATGGCTCACAAAGATGTCTGAGTATGCTTTTTGAATGAGTTCACGCACACTATAATCACGTGTTATCTATGTTCAGAAAACTGAAGTTTTGTTGAATCCAGAGACTAATGAAAATTTTTTAAGGCTGAACTTCAGACAGATTTAACATGTAATTCAATGTGGCAGTTTTTTGTTACCTTCATGGTAGTGTTAGGTTAACAGCCTACTTACTAATAATATCCCCAAGGGGCACCTAGACAGGAAGGCAGTGCCGTTTTATGTTCATCTTTATTGTGAATGTGCATCATTTTACGTACATCTATATTTGAACTATTAGCAAAGTCAGTCGTCCAGAGCACCTTGTTCAGTAAGTGACCAAGGTAGTTCCTATTTAATTTCAACCAAGGCTTAATTTTTCCCTATACTTCTCATGTTGGCAAGTTTGTTTGGTATCTTTCTGACCATGGACTTGCACACATTAACACATTGTTTCAAGTAGTCATTCCTGGAGACCTCTTTTAGCATCGGTCAGCTCTAGATCACCAATTATTGTTTCTGCATGTTCTCCGCTTACAAGACGATCTGTAGCATTTGGAATGATTATTTTCAAACTGCTGTGTAATCCCTCCCAGACACATGGGAAAACTTTATTGATCTTTGCACAATGCATTACAATTCACAAGTATTACCTAATGCAATCTAGATTTCATGCATTCCAGCCACTTTTATAAATTTTCATCGTTAGATGAAATTAATTTACAAATGCCAAAAAAACCCTTAAATATTAAACCTTCATGGCAAGAAACTATGTGGTTGAGTTGTCTGCCCATCAAAGGATTCATTTGCAAAATAAAAATCACATTATAGTTACTTGTTCTCCTCTGGAAAAAAATTATTATGCTTATGTGAGGAAATAATGGTGACTATATTGTTGCTTTAAATATTTGTAGCATTTAAAATTGAACCTAATTCATATATAAAGCTCCTTTCATTCAACGATGTTTTTGTCCTGGCAATGCACCTTGTAAATGCAGTTGAAACACTTCTGACCACTAATCCTGGTCATGGTAGCGGGGAAGACTGGCAATCACAATGAAAATAGATCAGACGTATTTTTTGCAAGTTGTTTTTTGTTAATTTCATATGACTTCATTTTATGTACACTGGCTTCCAGTTGGTGCTGACTTTTTAACTGCTTTCACATTTTTCTCACCAAAAAAAAAAAACAATGTACCCTGTGTCATGTACGGCGTGCATGCGAATGGGGAAGCAGGCAAGCAAGTCGTGAAGTCCAATAAATGGGGATTTAATGATCACAGACGGGCAGAACAGGACAGGATCAGGCACTACGCAAAACAACATCAATGCTAGAACTGGGGAAAGTAGCCAAGACGTGGACTAAATACACAAGACAAGCTAAGGGTAACGAGCAACAGGTGAGAACAATCAGGCAGAAACAGGAGGTAACGAGGTGGGCGTGGCACACACGAGGATCGGACGGAGCTGGATGTGACACCCTGCTTTGTGTGTGTGTGTGTATGTGTGAATATTATCGTTCACACCAATATTTCAAAATTAAGATATCGATTAGGCCTAAATATTTTTAGAAATCGCCCAGCCCTAACTGGTATTGGTGAATACCAGAATGCGAGCATCGGTACTCTGCCTGAAGAAATGGTTTTTGATGCATCCCTATTTTCAATATTTGTCGTCTAGGGTATATCGCTGCTGCCTCAGATAGACTCCAAGAATCTCTGTGACCCTGTCCAGGAAGATGGTTGGATGGAACATTTTTTGCAGCAGATCAATACTGCAGAAACTTCTATAATAAGTTAGAATTTATCACAAGTATATTTGTAAATGCAGAAGCCTATTACCATTCAAACGTTTTTGAACTAATTTTATTCCAATGTACTGGTACTCATATTTATGACATTTCAGTCAAACTAATAAATCACTTTTAGATATCGTGTCATGATCTTAACGGCAGAAAAGGGGCCTGTGTTCACAGTTTACTTCTATAGTGTCTTGTGAATTAATCATTATTTTTACTGATGTATTTGAGATTAAGTATCTTTTGCAAGGTTTTGAAAATTTCACTTAAAATAGCAATATTGTAGTTGTTCTGAAATGGAGGCATGTCCCACAAAGCATCTGTGGCTGTAAGAAGGCTTTTCTTTCTTTGGCATGACCCAAACAATTTCGCATAGCGAAGATTGAATGCTTGTAGTGCAATATGGGTAGCTATTCGCAAGTTAGACGATGAGGCTGAATATTTCTATTCCATGGGGCTCAGGGTCCAGGAAGCGAAGGCGATGTGGGCGACTCGACTCCAACCTGCAGCTGTGAGAAGCAAAGCGCCCGTGGCACTAGTGGAGCCATTGTATGTGATGAGACTGATGCTGGAGGGGTGGAAGTAAGTCAGGACAGGTAACACAGTGAGCTGTGACATCAAAAGGCTTGCAGTCAAATCCCAGGGCTCAATGGCTGATGGAACAGCTCTGTCAAGGGTGAATGCTGGCAGAGAAATCATTACAAATAGTTTATCATTAACTTACATTTGCTTAGAGGCCACTTTATTAGGTTCACCTAGCTAGTACTGGGTAGGACCTAGTTTTTCCTGTAGAACCATTTCAGGGTAGAACAGTTATGTTCAGAGAAACCATTCTGCACACCTCTGTTGTACTGAGCTGCACTTTTTGCACTTGTGGTCTTTCTGTTAGTTTTAACACGTCTGGTCATCCTCTTCTCACCCCTCTTGTTAATAAGGGGTTTTCGGCCGCAGAAATGCCATTGACTAAATGTGTTTTGGTCATCGCACCATTCTCGGTAAACTCTAGATGTGAAATTCCCAGGAGTGTGGCTGTTTCTGAGACGCTGCAACCACCACTTAAAGCGCCAATAGTCACACCACGTTTTAAATCGTTCAGATCATGCGTTTTAGCCATCCTAATATCCTAATGCACAGTAGAGCAGTGAGTGACCCTCCTAACCCTGTTTGTGCACTGTACATATTCAGTTGCAGCTACATGATTTGCTGTTTGGAGGAACAGGCTGTTTCCATTAGCAATATAGTGGACCTAATAAACTGGCCACTGCCTCTCTGTATTTCCAGCAGAATCAACAAAATATGATTTTACACTTTTTAGTGTAAATTTGAATCTTATATTTATCAACTGGCTTCAGTGTACTGGCAGTGTGCATTTCATCTGTCCCATTATTCAACTTCATTGTGAAATTCTTAATTCTTAATTTATGATTCTTAAAAAATGTAAAAGGTGGTACTTAAAATTCCTTTAATACAAATGCATGTTTTTTTTTTCCAACATAGATTTTAATCTGCACGTGTTCATGATTTGAACTTAAAGACAGGCCTGTTCCTGAAAAACATTTAACAGTCCATGCTTAATACTTTAATTTGGCAGTCTCCATGTGTCATATTAATGCCAAGAAGTCAGAATTCAGTACCCCTCCCCCAATGAATTGGTAATTGACATTTTCTGAAACATGAACTGAATCACGGTTTTTCTATGATTATGAGTACTGATATCGGCATCGGGTATTGGGCCGATACTGCTCTCTATTCTCATACTCAAAAAAATTATCTGATACCAAGAACCGATACCACTTAATTTCAACATTACATTAGAACTCCTAGCCTAGGCAATTTTTCTTTTTTTCTGAAGCCCAATCAGATTTTGACATCTAGCGAGAGATTTGTCAACTGGAAACATTTGAGAAGGATAAATGCAGAGAACACTGGCATTTGGCAAATTATTGAGTATATGTGGAGGATGATAGCAGTTTGGACAAATTTTAAGATAAGGGACAACTACAGAAGTAAAGCAGACTGTAAGCTCTGTTCTGCTAAAGCAGGGCTGGCCAGTCTTATCCACAAAGGGCCGGTGTGTGTGCAGGTCTTTGGGATAACCAGCTGTTCAAACCCAGGTGTGAGGACGCTTCAGCCAATCAGTCCTCTAATTAGTAATCTAATTAGGGAGTTGCATCAAAAACTCACACATACAGTGGCCCATTTTGGATAAGATTGGCCACCTCTGTGCTAAAGTGTCAAGAGGAGGAAGGGACAGCATGTCATTTAGAGCAAACAATTTGATTGAACATCTAAGATGCACCATAGTGCAGAGTACATGGTGTTTGCTAATGCTAGCAGAGAAAGACCTTAACAACAAACTTTAAGGTTAAGGTTCACCAACAACTGTGTACAAGTACATAGCAAGATGAAACAGCATTCCTCTGTGATCACAGTGCATATATAACAGTATCAGTACACAATAACTGTACCACACCATAACAATACCTAAGAGCTTGAATTTAATTTCTAGCGCAAATTTTCAAGAAGCGATTGAAAGTGAAACTGAAGCAATATTTATATCTAACATTAATTAAATAAGTTATGTTATGTTATATATAACTAAAGCTTCAGGTTCAATCAGTAGTATAAGTACACCTGGGTGTACGCTTTCTTTGCTTCTATATAAAAAAAAAAAAAACTCTCCAAAGTGGACCAATCACAGTTCTTGCAGTCTGCATCACCACGGTGTGTATTTACATTTCTGGGGAGGTGCACATCAAACTATGAGCATCCTGATATAAATGATTGAGTTGAAAACTCAGGTTTCAAATAAGATATATATATATATATATATATATATATATACACATTGACTGAATTATTTGTATTTATATAAACCCTAATTTATATAATATGTAATGGTTTTACAAAGTTAGCAAAGCTTTAAGGTTTAAGTTAAGCCTGTTGTTGCCTTCCACATTAAAGCATGATCATAGTCTCTTCCACACAGTGAGGCAAAAGCCTATAGCTTATTAATTAATCACTGATATCAGATCGGTACTCTGTATTGGCCGATACCCAAAGCCCATATGTCGGTATTAGGACAGAAAAAGTGGTATTGGTGAACCCCTAATTATGAGCCCTCCTAAACTCAGCTGGAGTGGCTGTGCAATATTATGAACCAAAATGACTACCTGATAGCTACAGTAAGCAGTGCTGAATACCTGAGCAGAATTCTTAAATTCCTAACGAATGAATGAATGACTCATGAAGTTGTGTCCGCATTTGCCCCCCCCCCCCCCCCATTTACTCCCAGGGTGCCTGATACCCATCAATTCCATGAAAATCATTCGGAAACAACTTGCCTTTGTGTTCATTGTATAATATTTTATGCCTTTTGTAGGAAATTGTACATTTGTAATATGTATGAATGTTGAAAGCTGAAGTACGAGAAAAATGTGAATACTCAATGGAAGTCTGACGAGTGACATGAAATTTAAGTTAACATTATAGGCCTAATATTTGCAATATAGGCATGTTGCAAGGCTGGCAGTCAGAGAGATTTCTATAGTGTCATGTTGGAACAGCGTGCTTCTTTTTCAAAATAGCTTTGCATGTGCTAAAGTATCTTCTGTGTATGTAACTAAACTATGGTATTTGTCCTAGTTAGAAAGGTACATAGAGGCAAAGGAACAATATTTGCCGGCTGATCTTGGAAGTAACCATGTAATTGATTGGATGCTTGAAGTGGGGCCGTTCAATAAGTAAAAGTAGGACAAAAAAGGAATAGTGGCAAAAAATACCATGAAAACATAATTGTTTTCACATAACACATGACATACTTGTCATTTTCTTTACCAACATTAATAGTACAAAAGCATACCTGTGGTTAAAACGATGACAACAATGTCCAATAAATAGAAAGAAAGGCATTTTCTGTGAACCTAGCTGCAATATCCAAATTCCAGTATCGATGCCTGAACAACCTGTAATGTCACTGCTTTCTCAGTAAAGAAGGTCAGAAGCTGCCTACATGCACACACACGCACACACACACACACACACACACACACACACACACACACACACACACACACACACACACACACTCTCTAACTTATTCACACAGCTGTTTCCCCTGGTGCTTGCTACAGTTCATTCTCTGACGTTCCTATTCTGACAGTTCCAGATGCAGTACCTGATGCTGCGGAAACAGGGATCCTCATAGATGCTATCTGACTACCTAATCTGTTTATCACCATACATTGCTGCAGTTGTGGTAGTTATGGCCTATTTTACTTAAGGCACAAGATGAGTATTTCCCTTATTTTACCTTGCTTGCTTACTTTTGATTGAAATTTCTTTAGTGTGAATAAGGCTGATTCAATTAAGGGTATCATGAATATTATTATTATTGTGATTAATATGAATAATTATTATTAATAATAATTTCTTATTATTAAGTTAATATTAACTTAATAATGATAATAATAATAACAACATTACTTCAACCCAGTACTGGATAAATAGTTCAAGGAGATGGATGTATAAAAGGATGGATGGAGTGATGCATGGATGAAGAGATTGATTTGAGATCCAGTAATCATCTGAATTGGCATTTCATTCAAGTAAATTCTTCACTAATAAAAACCCACCAGAAATCGTTATATAGTCACATATCTTCTATTTCTGTTTCTGAATTTAAAATATGTAAGACTTAAACACAGTCATTGACCTGATGAAAACACTTTCTAGCAGAAAGAAGTGAGAAATGGAAATGTAAGAACTCAAACCCCAGAAGTAATAGACAAGGTCAGTGAAAATTCTGCTCCAACACATTAAGTTTCGGCGTACGTCAATAATAGCCCATATGGAAGGGTCTAGTCCAAACTGATGAGTCTCTTGAAGTATTCCACCCACATAAATCTATTTGCATTTCTTTCCATTTCTGTAGATTTAGGAAATAAAGGCTAGGTTTTCTGGCAGATTTAAAATTATGCTTACTTTGGCATGTAATAAGCTCCATGAGCACCTGGCATTTGATGAATCATAGCACTGTGGCAATTAAAATGATTAGAAGAAAAAAATCCTTTTTTTGTTTTAATATTGGAATGCATCTACTAGAGGGATGAGGTAACATTTGACAAATTATTGTGGTTTAAAATTTCAAACTCAACTGTCTTTTTGCAGAACTGCAGGGCATGTAGCTATGATTCACAGATAGTTAGTGGCGCAGTGTGGTTGCATTACTGGATGGAGATATCAGTCAGTCTCCCTCTGTTCCAAACATACCCAGTGTGCTTACTTTTCCCCTCTAGTCATTTTGCTTTTCCCTCTATTTCCTTAGTTCCCCAAAGGATATATAACAGATAGGCTTAAGTGCACTTAGTCACTTTAGATATGTGATGTAATGATATCTGTTGCCAATATACCAATGTTGTGGGAATTGAGAGCTCATTGAGAAGACAAAGCTCTCAGAAAACCTGACTGTGTCAAAGTTCTTAATTGTGCAGCTGATTGGTACAATCCATAGGCAGGTATAGTATACAGACATTGTTTATGTGGTTGTTTAGCACTGGTCCACATTGAAGGAGACAGGCTAT